TCAGGAGACCTGCTTATTGATACCCTATCAGGCACCCAGTCTGCTTCTCTTTCCCGACAAACCAAATTTGGAGAAATATCTATAACTGTGTCAGCACACAAAACACTTAATTCTTGTAGAGGTGTGATCTCGGAGATCGACCTTCTGTGTGTCTCTGAAGAAGAGTTCATCTCCGAGTTAGCTGACCAAAATGTGTGTGGTGCTAGGCGGATCAAGATGCGAAAGGAAGGCCAGTTGATTGACACGAAACACGTGATCCTGACCTTCAACACGCCTGATCTGCCTAAGAATATTAAGGCCGGATATCTAAATCTTCCTGTAAGACCTTATATTCCTAACCCTATGCGATGTTTCAAGTGCCAGCGTTTCGGCCATTCTAAGATGTCTTGTTGTGGCAGCCTCACATGCGCCTGATGCTCACAGATTGGTCACGATTCTGAAAATTGTATTGCTGCGCATTTGTGTATAAATTGCAAGGGTCAGCACCCAGTATTTTCATGCCTGTGCCCAAAATGGAAATCCGAAAAGACAGCTCCAATCAAACAAATCATATGCCAGTGCAGTTAAAACAACACATAGCATTGCCACCCAAACATCAATAGGCACGCAGACTGTACCAAATAAAACCCAACCGACTACATCCACCAAAAAAAAAGGAAAATGCAACTCATTTGATACAAAAAAAAAAAAAAAAAAAAAAAAAAAAAAAAAAAAAAAGTCATTCAAAGTAAACCTAAAACTGAAAGTCACAAAATAAATAATAAAAATAGAAGTCCTAGCAATAGCTCTCTTGACGATATGATTTCTGAATCTGCGGATTCAGACACTATGGAAGTAGAAGAGGGTCTAGAAGTTCCCAGGCATCTACTTCCACGAAAAACAAAGAACAGCACAGAAAGAGAAAACCATTCATAATGGCCATCCTCGTGTCATGGAATTGTCGTGGTTTCCACCGAAATTTGCTTGACATCAAATCTATAATAAATGTGTATCATCCTGTGTGCTTAGCTATACAGGAAACAAATCTGAAACCAGAACAACATGCAAAACTTCGGAGGTTTTCTTTCGTCTGAAAGGATAACCTTGCAGGTGAGCGTGCCAGTGGAGGTGTAGGTCTTCTCACCTCACTCGACTATCCCTCAAGTTCCCTTTCTTTGACGACATCCCTCCAAGTTGTCGCTGTACAAGTAAATTTTCATATTGTAGTTTCAGTCGTTTCTCTTTATTTGCCTCCTAATTAGCACATTGATCAGCAAGATTTAAATGATTTTATAAAGCAGCTGCCTGAGCCTTTCATTATAATAGGAGATTTTAACGGCCATACTCCGCTCTGGGTTAATAAAGATACAAATTGCCGAGGAAGACAAATTGAGCGAATGATTGAAGATCATAGCCTTTGTCTCCTGAATAATGGGCAGGATACGTACTTCCATGAGCCTTCAAGGACATTCCACGCTTTCGATCTTGCCATCTGTTCACCATCTCTGTTGCCATTTTGCACCTTTAATGTCGGAAATGATATTTACAACAGCGATCATTATCCCATTTTTGTGTCTCTTGCACGAAGAGGAGCAAACCCCATGTCTAGACTCCCTCGGTTTATACTGGACAGGGCAGACTGGGAACTATTCTCTTTCTCCGCAGAGCTCGCAGAGGAAATGGTAGAAGATGTGCATATCGATGACGCTGTTGAAGCTGTTACTAATACTATTATTCAGGCAGCTATGCTTTCGATTCCTAGAACATCAGGAAAAATACTAAAATATTCGAAACCGTGGTGGAATCGCGACTGTCATGAAAAAACAGAAAAAAGCATGGGGTATTTTTCGTAGATATCCTACTCTGCGAAACCTCATACCAAAGCAACCAAACCAAATGCACGAAAAGTAAGAAGGCAGAGCCAGAGAGATTCCTGGATTTCATATGTGTCATCAATAACATCCTCTACGCCTAGTAAGCGGGTTTGGGAAAGAGTTCGAAAGCATGCGGAATATATAAAGACCACTCACTTTCCTTTTTGGAAAAAGATGGCCGAGTGATTAGCTCCATAGAAGAAATTGCAAATACTATTGGTGAGACATTTGCTGCCGTTTCTTCCAGCAGAAACTATTCACCTGCATTTCTCTCTATCAAGCAGCACTCTGAAATGAATCCCATTGCATTCAACTCTTCCAAATCTGAGCCTTACAATAGAGCATTTACTATGCTGGAATTAAAGAGAGCTTTGTTGCAGACACATAGGTCTTCTCCGGGTTTTGATGGCATAAATTATGAAATGCTAAAGCATCTGTCCTGTAAGTCACTGAATGCCCTTCTCACTCTTTACAATAGAGTGTGGAAGGAGCATACTTTTCCCAGTGCATGGAGAAGAGCTGTTGTAATTCCTATTGCTAAGCCAGGGAAAGATATAGGAATCCTTCCAACTGTCGGCCAATTGCCCTTACGAGTTGCGTATGCAAGCTGTTTGAAAAAATGGTAAACAGCCGCCTAGTCTACTTCTTGGAAAAGAATAATATTATATCGCCTTATCAAAGCGGTTGTCGAAAGGGGAGAACAACCGTAGATAACATGCTCCTCTTAGAGACATCCATTCGAAAAGCATTAAGAAGAAGCCACCTTGTCTCGGTATTCTTCGACATAGAGAAAGCTTATGATAAGGCATGGAGATACGGTATACTTCGCGATGTTCATGAGAGTGGCTTGCGCGGCAACCTACCAATTTTCATTCAGAATTTCTTGAACACTAGAACTTTTCAAGTAAGAATTGGCTCTGTTTTTTCGGATGTTTTTCAACAGGAAGAGGGTGTGCCTCAAGGCTGTGTGCTTAGTGTAACCCTGTTTAGTCTGAAAATAAACTCTGTACTAAAAGAACTTCCTTCCACCATCTTGGAATCTCTATATGTTGATGATCTGCAGATTAGCTGTCGAGGGTCAGACATGAGATACGTAGAGAGGCAATTGCAGATGGCTCTGAATAAGATCCAAGAATGGTAAAACAAAGAGGGATTTACATTTTCCAAACAGAAAACTGTGTGTGTTTCACTTTTGTAGGAAGCGAGGTCTCCATCCTGAGCCTGAGTTATATCTGAATGGTACAATTATTCCAGTTACGCCGCGAAGTAAAATTTTTAGGAGTGACGTTCGACCGAAAATTGACCTTCCTTTCTCATGTTTTAAACCTGAGAAAGAAGTGTCTAAAAACACTAAATATTTTAAAAGTGTTGGACGAAACCTCCTGGGGTGCAGGGCGTTGCTCCATGCTTCGAATTTACAGAGCGCTTGTCCGCTCTAAACTGGACTATGGCTCAGTTGTTTATAGGATCCGCTCAGTCATCAGTATTGTTAAAACTGGATCCTGTTCACCATCAAGCTCTGCGGATTTGTTCAGGAGCTTTCAGGACCTCTCCCGTCCAGAGTCTGTACGTTGACTGTAACGAACCATCACTTTATCTGAGGCGGTGAGCAATTGTCCCTCTTTGCAATATTTTAATATTCTAACTTCAACCTGAACATCCCAATAAGCTGTGCTTACTTGATAATGTGTGTAACGTCTTTATTTGAAACGCGTCCATCCTGTGTTCCTACCTTTCCTTTAAGAGTTCGCCCTGTCATTGAGGAACATTTCTCTCTCTGATATGCACCCCCAAGCAGTGCAGAACTTTGAAATCCCACCTTGGGAAAATGTCACGAATTCAGCTTCTTGAATGTTTTCAAGCATCACGTGAAGGCAATACCACTACGAGAATAATTTACAGACAACTCTTCGCTGAGCACAGGCACAAATATTGCAGTTATTATCCGAATATATACAGACGGATCCAAAGTCAAATGATCATGTCAAGATGGCTTTTGTATTTGAAGATTACTTAGAGGGCAGATGCCTGCACCATGCCTTTCTTCAGTCCTAACATCTGAACTAACTGCAATATATTATGGTCTTTTGTACATCTCAAAGCTCTGCCACAAAACGTTCCATAGTTTATTCAGACTCATATAGTGCTCTTAAATCTTTGGAAGCTTTTCCCAACACTCAGAATCCTGTTTTAGTGGATGTTCTCAAAATTCATATAAATTTAACGATTCAAGGTTATGAAGTCCTGTACTGCTGGGTTCCTGGACATGCTGGAATAAAGGGAAATGAGCTTGCAGATATCGCAGCCAAATCTGCGGTTGAACTGTCCAGTCGCCTTATCCCTAATGTACAAAAGACCATAATATATTGCAGTTTTAGAGATATCTGCAGTGTCATCAAGGGAAAGGTCTGAAAAAAATGGCAGCAAATTTGGGATGTTCAGCATCACAAGTTGAGAAACGTCAAGCCTAGAATTGAGCATTGGGATTTTGCTGGAAATCGTAAGGAGGAAGTTCTTTTGACTCGCCTCAGAATTGGTCACACTAGATTGACACATAACTACCTTTTAAAAGCTGAAAATGAGCCTGTGTGTTTTAATTGTAATGTTTGTTTATCTGTTCGTCATATTTTAATTGAGTGTCCATGTTTTAATAGGCTTCGCCAGAAATATTTTAATAGCTGTGACTTGCCTCTCGACCGTTTAATCGGAAGAGAGGTCAATTGTGGTTTGTTTTATTATTTGAAAGAGACTGGCTTTTATTACCAAATGTAATTTGTTTTGAAGACTGTCTAGAATTTTAATATGTGCTTTTAACTTGTTTTTATATGACTTCATCCTCTGGATTTGGTACATTTGTCTACTTGTTTTTATTTATTGTATTTTAACTTCATCAATTGTAATCACCCCATCTCGTGTTTGGCGCGTTTTAATCATCCTTGGTTTTGCGCCATAATCTCTCACTCACTCACTCACTCACTCACTCACTCATCATTATTCTAAATTCATACCATTGAGTGTCAAAAAGTTAAATCAATGAAATATGCATGGAATGAATTTGGAAAACCATCCGTCCATGTTTTAATTTACATGTTGATATCTTCTTTTGCCTTTTATTTAGTAATGTAAATTAATTATTTTTTTATATAGGTTTGCGTGGTCGCATGGGTCCAGGTTATGCAGCTATGAATGAATTAGTCATTATACAAACCTCCCAAGGGTTAGCTGAATATCTTAAGCGGTGTACAGACCTATTGAAGAAGATAAGGGGAGTTGTTATTGGATATGACAATCGTCACAACAGTAAGAGGTATGAACTTCATATAAAATTTACTACACACATTGGTGGATAAAATACTTGTTGTATCAATATTTGTGTTTAGTATTCATGTTTATTCAGAATATTATTATTTGTAATTCAGGAGATCTCATTTATTTATCCCCCCCCCCGCTTTATCAAAAATACAAAGTACTGCAAGAGTATGTAACAGATGAATGTTCTTGCTGTAGTCATAGCATGATATAATTTGTTCTGATTTGTATACTTCGTTTATTATTAAACTGTAATGTGCTCTTTGTGTCCTTTTTTTCATCCAATTAGAATGAAAAATACTTAATGATTCATACTTTCCCTTGTGTTTTGAAGGTATAATCAGTAAACAACTGCTCATGATAAAAGAAGTAGTATGTTAAGGAAGTGAAAGCCATTCTGTATTCTTAAAAATCAACTCGGTCTAATTTTCTCAAATGGATAAAATAAGCTGTTTGCTCCTTTCTTCACAGAAAAATAAGCAGATCCAAATTTTAAGCTTCACAAAAACGAATGAAATATGATTATTGAATAGTGGTGGAAAATTTTTTTCAGTAGAACTAAATATATTAAAGCACTTTATATAGTACATAAGACAAAATAATTTTGATCATATTTAACTAAATGTCTAAAACTTTAAACCTAATTATGCTTCTAGTATATCATTAACCATTATTCTGTATTAAACAAACAACAAAAGTTATCTTCTCAACTCCGGACTTCAGTTGTGGCAGTTACTGCCACATGATTGTCACCAAAAGGTCTGTTTTAAGTAAGGTTTGCTAACATAAAACTTCTTTTATCTTGTTAGCTAAACCACTAACTTCTTTTATCTTGTTAGTCACCAGGCCATTAATGCATGAAGCAGTTATATTGAATCAGTGTAGATTCTGGAAATACACCTGTCATTCATTAATAGTGGAACAGCAAAAAAATTTATTGTAAAAGTTACTTCAACTGTTGAGGGCAATAATACAGTAGAATTCCAGAAATCCACAAAGCTTGGGACCAGAGGTTGTGCTGATTTTAGGATTTTGCGGATTTCAGGACAGAAAAGATAAAGCATAATATTCGGACTAAAAGTGCAAAATGAATAAGGCGTATTATATACATTTAATTAATTATAATATATATTATTGCAATAACTTATTATATGCATTAAATTATTATTACATATATAAATTGATTATATTATTCATTGTATTATATATACTCGAGGTTTGCCAATTTCGCCTCATGCAAAGATTTCTGGTTTCGGATTCCGGTGTTAGAATCACTGTTGCTGTAAAATTTCAACAGCTTTTCTTTATTTTTCCATATATCATACACAATCATATCGTAATTCGTATGATTCTGCTATAAAATGCACGTCTCCATCTTTTTGCAGAATTTGTACTTTTTGCATTACCGTCAATCCAACGTTGCAAGCAGTAAAATCACGAGTGCGTTTCTTATCTGTCCTTGGGTTAAAAAGGGCTGAAATTTAAAAATATTCTTAATTTATCCACAAAATATCCGGATAAAAAAAAAAAAAAAGGCAAGCACTTTAATCCAATCTTGTGAAATGAAATAACAAAGCTCAGAAAATACAACGTGAATCGTGAACTTGAACAAAGAGTTGGGTGAATCGTCTGCTTTTTTACCTCGATGCAGATTAGAGGGAAAAAACTTATTTATTTTATCTTATTTTTTTAACTTTTTTATATCAATAATGTGATATTTCCATTTTGACTCATTATTATTCGGTAATTATGACATCATTATTCGATAAGTATTTTTTTCTTCGATATTTCATACTCAATGTTGCAGTTTCCAGAACCTATAAAACTGAATGTTTATGTTCCGAGAGGCAACGCGGATTTCAGGTCGACTGATTTTCGGTATTTGACTGTATCAAATATGACTGACTGAAAAATATGGTAGGAAAACTCCTCATTACTTGAAAAGAGAATTCTTTGGCAGAGTTCACAAATTGTTCTCAAACTTGCAGATGTTTAAGCATCATGAATGCTAAAATAGTAATATAATCATCGGGATAAATTGCTTTCCATTGCACTAATAGAACCAAAATTCCCCAGAAAATTGTGCATTAGAGTTTGTTCAGTTTTCTGTGTTGGATATTCTTCAATATTTTCTGCATTTGTTTGTTCAATTTGAATTTAGATATGTGTTTTTATGTTGCTACCCGTGCTCAGCGCTTTTAGCTGCTCTGCCATTGGGGGATCCAAAGTCTTATTTAAAATCTTGTTTCAAAATCTTCTGTTCTGATATAGTCTGACAAATGTTGTAGTATGAGGGTTAGGGTTATATGAATATAGCAAAGCATACAAGAGTTATCGGCTTTCGTAGGGCCCTTTCTGTGGGAAATTGGGTTATGTTACACATGGAAAAAACCACAGAAACCAAACAGGTAAGTATCCCGTGTGTTTGTTTGGGTTAGTTCCGAGGTCGAACTGGCAGTATTCAGCGGTCTTAAGCATTTAAGCACTGGTGAGGCTGAAAGTGAAAAATAAATATTACCCCAACATTCTGTATGATATCTAATTATCTACTTTCTATCCTGGCTTATGTTCACACATAGGCTTTGACATGCCTGCAATGCTACAACTAACTGCAGATCGCCGGAACAAAGCGTAACATACTTCAAGCTAATCGTCAGCATACAGCGGTATTTGGAACTTGATGTCTAACTAATAAGTAAAAAATATTTCATTTCTGAAATAATCTTAAACCCAAATTTAGTTTTATTTATTTATTTTTAATATAATCATTTGTACAACTATGCATCAGTCTTAGCACTTCATTTCTTTCAAACAACATTTTGCATTGAAACGAGCAAACAAATTTGAAATAAATTGTATTTAAAACCAAAAATGACAATCAAGTTTTTAAAGACAGTAATTTCTTTTCCAAAACTATTAAATATATTAATGTTTATTGCTGATTATTAATTCAGAAATTTAAAGAAGTTTCGTATTATTTAAGGTGTATCTTATGCATGTACCGATTACTAATCTGTAGGCTTATTGATGCATCCATATTTTAAAACACTTTGCTTTATGTGTAGTGTCAATATGAGACTGTTTTCCTTAGAAATTCATCCACGGAAATATCTCTTTCATTAGGAACATAGACCTCTTGTGCTACATCTCCAAACATCAATTTGCAGGATTTTTATGCATTAATCACCTGAAACAATTCAGACTATGACATTATTCATACAGGGAAGTGCTAGCCAAGATACTACTTGGAGCTTGGTACTACTCAGAGCAGAACTAAAAGCACCAGTAGTAGAATAATATAAAGTGTAACTTACATGTTCGGGGAATTTCTTAGCTGCAATTCTACGATTTCAATTAATCTGAACACATGACAATTCAGTAGCATCTAATCAACGCACTATAGACAATTTAATGATGATGAATTCAGTAAAAAGTTTTCCAGTATGGTAGAAAATAAATGTTCAGCTTGTTTCGATATCAGTACTATTCCACAGATTGCATAATGCATTTTCATTCTTAAAGATAAACATGTGAAACTGAAAACCAAATTTATGTGCACATTTTGGATATTAACTTTCTGAGTACATTTCAAGTATATAGGTTAATATTATTATTCTTGTTTATACATATATATGTGTACATTGTTGTTAATTGAATTGTGTTAGTGCTTTAAAAAAAAAAAATTTCTCTTGCCTTCCAAAAATTGTATTAGTATAGTATATTTCTCTGTTTTCAAAATTTAGAGTAACAAATATTTTTTCAATATAATGAAGTACCGATCCATCTCTACTTAGAGTTTGGCAGTTAGTAGATGTACTCTGGAGATAGTTGAAAATCACATGTGGTTCATACGCGTGATCAGGAGCTAGCTCCATGGTGCACTACTTCTACTACTACTACAACTGCAGAAATTGGAACACAATGTTAATTAGTATTAAATTTAATTTATAGTAACATTGAAATATTTAGTAATGCAGAAAAACTGATCTCTGGAAAATAAATAATAATTCATCTTTGTGTCTATATATTCATACTACTGTTTCTCTCAGATCTATGTTTATGACCTGAAGAAGGAAAAAAAAAATGTTTTTATCAATATTATTGGGAAAACTGAACAAAGTACTTCAATGTTTGACATTTACGAATGGCTTTCTATCTTAAGCTGCATTCAGACGGCGGTATAAAGAGCATAGAAGCATAGTCATAAGGGCATAAAATACAGGACATCCGTTCACACCTGCGAGAAGGGGGTCTAAGCTGCAGCCAGTGAGAAAAGCTAAATTTGCACGTGCGTGGATGTATCTACACCTTTCGCGTGCTGCTTTCTAGCTCGATTGATTTCCTGTGCTCGCTCTGCTTGTTTTCGTTATTTTGTGTCATGGCTTTTTCAGCTCATTACAAAGTTTTACTGGTTCAACAGAATGCTCTTTTATCTGCCCTTCTTATAAGCCAAGAGGCAACGGAAGAAGGTAAAAAAAAGAAACAGAATGAAAAAGTCTGAAGATATGTTTTTGGAAAGACCAATAATTCACTGGCACGTATTTCTATGGAAAGCAGTATGAGATATTTCTGCATTGTACTGTAGTACTCTCTATACTATAAACATGCACATGCATATTTATATATATAAAACCTTCAATTTTTATATATAATTTCTCGTACAAGAAATATATTTTAAATATGCCTAATTAAAAAGAAATCTTGAGAATAACTGACAGATAGCCTGTATATAATATTTTCCCATTTTGCAGGTGTGAAAGCAGTTAAGCGGAAAACAGTACTTTCCATACATTATCATTCTTTTTTTTTTTTAATTTTCAATCAAAAGGAACATGTTTCTGTGACAGTGAAACATGTGTGCTTAGCACTCCTTATTCACTGTCACTGTCGATCACTACAGTAGTTGGCTGCACTATCAGTATCAATTATCACTAGTACTAGTATCCCACAACTAGTCACCATGACCAGCAACCACAACTAGTACAATATCAAGAAACG